ACAAAAGGCAAAAGCCAAGATATTTGTAGCAGCTGTGAGGGAAACTCAGAAGGGGGAAAAGAAAGTGTTTAGAACAGAAGGACAAAGACCTAGGGGAGATTATAAGAAACTTCCCCAAATGAGAAACCCCAGAGATGGTCCTGCAGATTATCATTGCTATTAGTGAGGAAGGAGAAGATAAAGCGAAGCTGTAGGCAACAACAAAAAGATGGGGAAAAAAAGAAAAAAAAATGTCTGAAGAGGACAAATAGGGGTGTCAGGGGCTGTACATCTTGAGGACCAGATCATCAAAAGAGCCCTTGATAGAACTAAAAATAGGTCCCCAAGGGGAAGAAGTTTACTTTTTAGTGGACACTGGAGCAGAAAGATCAACTATACAGCACTGCCTCAAAGGGGGTAAAATTACTTAAGAAATTGCTCTAGTTGTGGCAGCAAAAGGGGAACCATTTAAAGTACCTGTACTTGAAAATGTTGAAATTGAATCAGAAAATAAGATTTGTTTGAATGATTTGTTATTAGTACCAGAAGCAGACAATAATTTGCTAGGAAGAAATTTAATTACAGCTTTAGGAATAAATTTAAAAGTGAAACAAGGAGAACTACAGGTACAGTTTTAAGAGATGGTCCATTATTGTATGGTAGAGTGGACTAAGGAAGAAATTAGGCCTGATCATTTATATTGGCCAGTGCTGGGTCCTTTCATGATTGGATGTGTCAAGCTTTAAATCTTTATGTAAATAGTAAGGAACCCTTTGATCAGGAGGAAAGTGATTATGTGGCACTTTTGAGCGGCGGGGGGGGTTTCTCTGTAGTGATAATATTATACCCCCTGAAAACTAAAAAAAGGAGAAAGGCAGAGGAAAAAGAAAAACCTTGGGAACCATTAGACAATTTGCCCCCTCCCTATCAAGGGCAGGAAACTCTCTCCTCCCCTGAGAGGCCATGGAGCTCGATGACTCCACCCCTATCATCACCATCTAGTAGGACTCGGAGCAAGAGGAGAGAACGACGCCAGGAAAATAATTCTAGCGGGGAGGAGAAAGATCAAAAGAAGAGACTATTCCCCTTGAGAGAAGTACTTATGGGAAGAAATGATAGGGGAATAGCGTCTGTAACAGTCCCACTTCATAATGCGGATGTAAGAGAATTTAAAAAGGAAATGGGGAGGCTGCTTGGAATACCCTTTAGGGGTTTCTGAGAGGTTAGACCAATTTTTAGGGCCAAATACCTACACCTGGGATGAGCTTCAAGCTATATTGTACCTCGAGGGCAAAATATTAACAAGGCTTTCTGCGTGCACCAAGAAAAAGATGAAACACCTACAGATTGGCTTGAGAGGCTCAGAAAGAGCCTGCAAATGTATTCAGGAGCAGACCCAGATTCACCAGTAGGAGCAGCATTGCTTAAAACTCCATTTGTGGCAAAATTATAGGGAGACATATAAAAAAAAAAAAAACATTTTGAGTATTCTGTCAGATGTGGTATGAGTGTTATATAGGATATAGTATGATTTCTAATCAAACAAGTCATGAAGTCATGAGACGTGGCACTGTCACGAAGCGAGTGTGGACCCCAGGATCATAGTTCCACTCTTCCAAGAGGAAAGTGGTCGTTCAAGGGGGAAGCAGACAAAAAATCATTTTCAGACAAAAAAACCTGAAAGTCGGGGAGCTCGGGGGATCGATTACGGGCAGGATCAGAAAGGGGAAGGTAAGTTCTCCAGCATGGGGGAAAAAGAAATCCAGGTAAAAGAAAAGATAAGAATAAGAGCTCATTACCAGCCGAAAATCCACAGACTGGTTCGCTGTGTGTCTAGTAGACTGGTAATATTTTTTCAAAAGGGGATCAGAACTTAGACACAGTACCAGTAAAAAAGTTTTTCTAGGAATTCCTTTCAGCTCAGAAAAAGGTACGTACGTTAAGGGAACTTTAGGAAGAGCTTGTGAAATGGAGCAAAAAAAGAGCAAGATTCAGGGAAATACTCAGAGCAAACCTGAAAAAGAACAGGAGAACAGTCTACCTGAAATTCCGAGAAATAGTGCGTTGAGGTGGATGCTAGAACACTAAGAGAACTGCCCCAAGAGACAAATAAGATCCAAAGAACTAATGATACATTATTGCGTAGAAATAGGGGGAGATGAGGAAATTAGAAAACATCTAATCTAGCCTGTGTTTAGCACCTTCAAAAAGATGGACTTGCCAAGCTTTACATCATCACGTGGGTGGTAAGAATTTGCAAAATAAAGAGGAAGGGGACTATGCCAGATTATGGGACTATGCTAGTACAAGATTATTCCCAATCAAAATTTACAGAAATGCTGCGACCCAAAGACAAATAAAAAGCAGCAATTCAAGTAGGCATCTTTGCCTCAAGAGTTTGTAGATTCACCAAATCTGTTTGGTCAGGCTCTTGAACAATTATTAAATCAATTTGTGCAAATAGAAGGGACAAAATTATTACAATATGTAGATAACCTCTTAGTGGCTAATCCTAAAGAGAAAGATGTAAAAGCAAGTACCATAACATCATTAAACTTCTTAAAAGATAAGGGCCTAAAAATTTCAAAATCTAAGTTACAGTTTACTGAACCTGAAGTTAAATATCTGGGACATTGGTTAATAAAAAGGAAAAATAAATTAGACCCTGAAAGAGTAGCAAGAATTGTTGCTTTACCCTCCCACAGACAAAAAGAGAGATCAGACAGCTGCTGAAACTTCTAAGGTATTGCAGGCACTGGATTGAAGGGTATAGTGAGAAGGTAAAATTCCTTTATGAGAAACTTACTACTAATAGGTTAAAATGGACAAGATGAGTCAGAATCAAGGGTTAAAGCTGAAAATCAAAAATAAGACTTGGGAGTCCTGTGACAATTTACCTCCCTTGCCCAGCCTGTGGAGGAGGCTGTAAGACCATCTGCTCCTCCTAATAAGTTGAATTCAAGAAAAAGAGAGAAGGAAGAAGTGCCAGTAGATACAGCTCACATTATCTCAAGAGGCTCACATTAGCAAAGTTTTTGATCTTAGTGCAAAGAAAACATGTATTATAGAAATACCAGGAAGATGTGAAACATGAAAAGTCCCTACAGAAATAGAAAAAGGAAAAGAATTTGAAGTTCCTATTATTAAAAGTGTTGCAATTAAGAGAGACACCAAAATATAAAAGAATAAATACCTTATCAATTTCTAAACTAAGTTTCAATGTGTTAAGAAAAGATCTAGAGGTGTTATTAGAGAAAAATAGCAAAATTTCTTTCCTAGAAGAAAGTAGTATTGAAGTGTATCTCCTTAACTATGTGCATACCTTTAGAGATGGTGTACAACTTTGAAAAAAAGTTTTTAAGAGAGACTAGTTGAGAAAGATTGATGCACTTTTGCAGATTAAAAAATTTTTGGAAATTTGCTTGGAGTTTTGAAAGTCTTGAGAAGTTTTTAAAAAAAAATTTAGAAGTTTTAGAAGTTTTAGAAGTTTTCAGTATGGTTGAAAGTAAATTATTGTGTTACCACAAAAAGGCTAGGCTAAGAAGACGTTTAGAATATTGTAAAGATCAAGATCCTTAAGTGTCTGCTCAAGTCTGTGAATTATATGCAGTTTTAAAAGTTTGGACAAAAGTTTAACAGAACTAGCAGCTCTAAAGTAAATCAGCCAGATTTATATGTTTGAAGTCCAAACGAGTCTTGTAGCTTATAATTGATATGTGCATAAAATATGTGTTTAACCAGTCTCTGTCTGTAAGTGTGAAATTTGTGCTGTATTTATTATGATTTACAGTGCTTTAAAGTAAACTAGTAGTATATTGGTTAAAAAATAAATATATATATTTTTGCTTAAACAGAAGAGAAAGATTTAAAACATCACATTCAATGTGTGAAATTAAGAAAAGCTACATTGGGTGGAAGTTTTAAAAGTTTAGATGTGTTTTTAAGACGAAGCAATTATAAGTTTAAGAACTGTAGTGTGATCTGAAACAATACTGTCATCCTCTGAGAAAAGTTATAGTTGCATCAAGTTACTATGTTTTTATTAAATGTTGTAAAACTTAAAACTTCTTCTGGGAGCTAGATAAGCTCCCTATTAAAGACTCCCAAAGGCAGAGCTGAGCCCTTTGTTTGAACCACAAAAGAGACATCCAGGCCTTTATCTCCTAAACGACTCAATTTACAAGTTCAATAGACACTGCAGGCCTAGTAAATTGCCAAACTGTAAGCTAAGCAACTAAACTGCTCTTAAACTAACTTCTATTGCACAAGTGAGATGAAATCTTCCCAATCTTTTCCTATGTTTTCAATTTTTAAAATATTCCTTGATAAATTATTTGCCACAAGGTTACACAAAAAATCAAAAGAATCCCATCATAATTAATGTCCATCTAGTAATTTTGAAGTGTGGAAAACACCTCTTGTTTTATAAGTAAATGAGTCTGTGTTTATGCATGTTAATACCTAAGGTTGTAAGTTGTAAAAACAGATTGTTACGAGAAGTAAAATCTTTTCTTTGGAACTATGAGTATTATTCATGAAGTTGTTTTAAGTATATTGAATAGTTAGAAGATACTGTAAAGAATATAATAAAACAAGTAATGTGATTAATGAAAAATCTGGAAAGACCGGGTATATAAGATACAAACTAGACTGAAGCTATAAGAAACATTGAAAGTAAAATTAAAATAAGTTAAAGTACGACAAAAACTGCTGGATATTTAGTAAGCACCAAATTAAAAGAGAAAAGCCAAGTAAATGACTGA